GTTTCATACCCTTTTAAAGGTAAGAAACTCCGCTAACTGACAATAAGAACAATTGTTAGCTAGAAAAAACACAAGAGTAATACCAAGCCTTTGAATTAGCATTGAGCGAAACAATGCTAACTAATGCTAACGCTTTTTTACACACAACACACGGTAGAAATGCCCTTATTACTATCTTAACTGCACAAACAAGATATACGATTTAAAGCTGAGACTCCACAGATGTAATGTCATCACTGTAAGACCTCGAATTCCTGGAGCTATCAGCCAGAAAAGAGAAAGTAAACAACATCCGGTTCCAAAAACATTACAATAATTACGTCTTACCTTTTTTGATTTGTGATCAAAAGTTGTGTTCAACGGAATAAAAACGCATCTCAAGGTTAATCCAATGTCGTTGTGTCACGTAGAATTTTTCTGTCACACTACAGCCATTCAAAACACATCTATTCACCATAATAAAGGTCGGCTATTCACATGCAAATGCTATTGAATGTCCGCCATTGTTTGTGCCCGTCTTCCTGAGCTCTCGTCATCACCCGAAGATTCCCGACGATTCCCGAAGTATTTCGTTTCATTGAGAGGGCGCAGTAAAATTGAAAATAAAATGAAACTAGGCGGATGAAATTAAAAAAAATTGTTTAATATGCTTCTTTTTAATAAAAATACACAAGTTAAACCCAAAATTCGCGGATTTCCACTATCCCTTTAAGTAAAAGAACAAAAGTACAAGCATTAACCTGTAAGTACAAGTACCAGTTATGCAGAATGGTCCATTCAAGCACCATCTATTTTAAATTATTTCATCCTGATCATTGATGAATTAATGTGTTCATCATTTCAACGTTGCACTCTGTAAAGATGGGGTTTATTTGAAATAATTGATATACTACTGGGTAGCTTAACCTATAATAATAGATATGAATGCATTAATTGACATGACTGACTAGTAACTAACTCTGTAAAGTAAATGTAGTGTAAAATCAGGGGCGGCGGGTACTGTAGGCTAGGGAAGGCTAAGCCTTCCCAAATATTTTTGTCACTGCATCCTGGTAAAATAAAAATATATAATGTAGCCTATAATGTTTGTGTCTTTGACATTAGCGATGCTACGCAGCCACCTGTGCCCTGTACTACGAAGCCAGTTCAACAGACCCTGGATATGTTTGAGTTATATTAACTAACACTAACAAATGAGATCTCGCTAAGCGGTCCTCCGACGCTGGTTATCAACTCGGTAAATCAAGCCAGGGTTTCTCTCTCCAGCTGAAAGCGTTCACGTGAAAGGGGCGGGGTTAGCAACATTTGACCAATCACAAACAGGGACAAGTCAGAGCCGTATCTGGGACAAGTGTACTGACAGCGCAGCGTCATACTTCATTAATTAAAAGTAAACTATTATTAGACAAATATGAACTTTAAACATCCATGACTTAAACATATAATCCAGGATACAAGCAAGGTGAATATAACAACTGGTTAAAAAATAAATAAACTACCGAGTGTTTGAAAGCGTACAACAGTTTTATGATATCACTGCCCCATCTAGACACGAGTGGATCTGACTTTAATTACATTTGAGTTGAGTTTTTCGTCAACCTAATGTGTTGCTTAAAATAATACTTATGCATACAGTAGCCTATGTGACAATGTAAGTGTTGCACGGCCAGATACGGCTCGAGAAGCTGACTCAGATAAGGAAATATATGATATATGATATTATATGATCGATGATCTGATTGATGATGTGATGTCAATGATATTATGTGCGACACGTCGGTGTCTTCCCTGCATACGGCAGTTTAAACTGTATTTCCTTTATCCTGTAATATGACTTGATAGATTTAAACTCCACACACTAAGCTCTGATCAGCAGGCGGTGCTTTCACTGAGTTGATCTCTTTTCTATAGACGCCAGAGGCGGGCAGCGTCAGGTAAAAAAAAGTTATTTAGCCTTCCCAAACCTGAGCCTCACGCGCCGCCTATGTGTAAAATGTATAAAGTAGCATAGTGGAAATACTCAAGTAAAGTAAAGGTACCTACATTTTTTAATTAAGTACAGTACTTGAGTAAATGTACTTAGTTACATTACACTATATTGATTATTATTTAAATATCCCCTGTTATACTGTTTTTCATCAATATATTATAGGTCTCAGATACAAACATGTTTCTACTGACTTCCGGTAGAGCGATGAGCTGGTAAGACACACTCTCCAGTTGCTCGCACACATTTCAAGTTAAAACTACATTTCTCGACAAAACCACCACATTTTAGACGTTTGAGAAAAGTCTAATAGATCTGTGACACTAAAAGGAGAAAATCCCGTTGTGAAATGCCGAAAAAGAGCAATGTAAAATTCGACCAGAGCGGCGAACCAGGCCCTAATGAAGCCTCGGGCTCAACTAACGAAGGGGCCTCCGGAGTGGCTGGACGGGCAACGGATGACAGTAGCATACTGGGGGCTATAGCGGCACTCCATGCAGAGCTGACGCTAGTCAAGTCGGAGATTTGCCGTAAAATAGAGACTGAGATGTTATGTATGTGTCACATCAGGTGTGACTGTGCCTTTAAGATGACACCGGGAGTTTTGGGATGTGTGAACCGGATACAGTTGTGTTGTTGGAATGTTGTCATGGAAGCGTATACAACAACGTGTTCAATAAACGGTCAACACAGATGTCGTAGTCCATAGTCTTTTATATACAACATTGGCGACGAGGATTATGGATTCTCACCTCTCTCCCCGTTCCTCGCACTGCCGGGCGAACCACTGATTCCGTGGGTTCGCTGGCTTGAGTCCTTCGAAACGTTCATAGTAGCCGCGGGGCTAGCTGAAGCTAACGACGACAGGAAGAAAGCCCTGCTGATACACTCACTGGGCAGCGAGGGACAGCGGATTTTTCGGACTCTCAGACTCGCTCCGAAATATGCGGACTGTGTTACACTGCTCACTGGACACTTTGCTGCCCCACAAAATGTTATGCTCCGGCGGATTGTTTTTCGGCAACGCCGGCAACAGGCGGGTGAGTCCGTCCACCATTACGTGGCTGATCTGAGGGGACTAGCCAGCCTCTGTAAATTCGGGGCGCTGGAGGATGAACTAATAAGGGATCAGCTGGCTGAGCACACTAACAGCTCGACGCTCAGAGAAAAGCTGCTAATGATGACAGACAAGCTCACTTTAACAAGAGCAGTGGAGGTAGCTTTCCAGCTTGAGTCAGCAGCAGCCTTAGCATCCCAGCTAGCTCCCTCCTCCGGTTATTTTCCCCACAGACCCATGCTACTAACTCAAACGGTGGCACTACCCACGGAGCCTTCCGGGGAGTTTTTCCCTGTGGACAACTTTGATGTGAACTTTGCAGCACGCCAGGGTACGGCAGCACGCCGGTCCTGTGATAATTGTGGCTCATCATCGCACCAGAGTCGAGCTCCGAACTGCCCTGCCAAGGGACAGAGGTGTCAACGCTGTGGCAGACAGAACCATTTTGCACGGGTCTGTCGCTCTGTTCCTTCAGCCGACAGCCCACCTCCACGTACGCCTGGGCCACACGCACCGACGACCATCCACTCAGTGGGCGCCATCTCCCGACGGCTGAAGTGCTGCACGGTGGAGCTGGATGGGGTCTGCCTCCTGCTGCTGCTGGATACGGGGGCCTCCAAGTCGCTCCTGAATGTTTCCACGGTCCGGCGTCTCTTTCCGCTCCGAACAATCACCGCCGATGCCGAAGATCTGTACGGGTATGGACACTCTAAAATTGGAATGGCGGGCACACTCACCTTGGCTGTGCATTACGGGACTAAGGCTCTCCCCGCATTCACCTTTCAAGTGTCTCACCAGGGGGCCAACCTCATGGGTTTTGATTTGTTTTGTGAGTTGGGTTTCACCCTTGTGGACAATTCTGGGGCCGCTATCTTGTCTGTTGGCTCGCCGTGGCATCAGCGCTGGCCTGCCCTGTTCAGTGGTTTGGGCTGCCTCACCGCCTTTGACCACCAGCCCCTCCTCAAGCCTGAGGTACACCCCGTGATTCAGCCCATACGCCGCCTGCCTCTCGCCCTGCGCGACGACATCACCGCCGAGCTTTCTACCATGACGCGGGCATCATCGAACGCATTGATGCTTCCCCGTGGATTTCAAACCTGGTGGTGGTGAAGAAGAAGTCAGGGGGCCTGCGCCCGTGCATCGAACTCAGGCCGGTGAACAAGGCCGTGATACCTGACAGGTATCCGCTGCCCACAGTGGAGGAGCTAGCCGCACAATTCTACGGCTCTTCCATGTTCACAAAGCTAGACCTTCGTCAAGGCTACCTGCAGGTTCCGCTGCACCCTGACAGCCGCAACCTTACAGCTTTCGTGACTCATGTCGGAGTGTTTCGCTACACCCGCATGCCTTTTGGCCTCAGCTCGGCCCCCAGCTGTTTTCAAAAAATCATGTCCACCATCTTCGCCGGCATCCCGGGCGTGGTCGTCTTCCTGGACGACATAGTGGTTCATGGTGCTACACCAGCTGTTCATGACGAACGCCTGGCGAGGGTGCTGGACGTCCTCGCCAGTCACAACCTCACACTCAATGGGGAAAAGTGCACCTTCGCTGTTCCAGCCATCGAGTTTGTGGGGTTCCGCCTGACCGCCGACGGCCTCAGCCCGCTACACTCCAACGTAGAGGCTGTGCTGCGCCTGCCTGAGCCGTCCTGTCCGGCTCAGATCTCTTCGTTTCTGGGGATGACGGCCTACTACCTGCGTTTCCTTCCTCAGTACTCCTCGACCACTACGCGCACTCCTGAAACATGACGCGGTCTGGGAGTGGACCCCGGCCTGCTCTGCCGCTATTCGCCAGCTCAAGACGCAGCTCACCTCAACGCCGGTGCTCGCATTCTTTAACCTGACGAGCCCCACGTTCGTGACCTGTGACGCATCCAATACGGCAATAGGGGCGGTGCTGTCCCAGATCCAGGGGGGCACAGAACGCCCGGTGGCATTCGCCTCTCGGTCCCTCAACTCGGCCGAACAGAAATACTCAATGGGGGAGCGGGAGGCGCTGGCCTGCGTCTGGGCGTGCGAGCGATGGCACATGTACGTGTATGGGCGACATTTTACATTGCGTACTGACCATCAGGCTCTTACAGCCCTGCTTGCTACATCGGGGTCGGGGCACAAACCGCTGAGGATCTACCGCTGGTCAGAGAGACTCCTGCCGTATGACTTCACCACAGTGTTTACTCCCGGCAGGGAGAATGTGGTGGCTGACCTGCTCTCCCGCGCCACCCCCACCCCAGCGCCCGGCGCGGGCCCGGACGCAACAGAGTCAGAGCTCATACTCATGCTCCACACCCCGCTTCAGGCCGCGGTTTCCCTGGATGACCTTCGGCTCGCATCGGAGGAAGACCCCATGCTCTCCCGGCTCCGCACTTACATCCGGGAGGGATGGCCTGCGAAGTTCCCAGAGGAGCTGGCGCCTTTTCATCGGGTCAAGGACGAGCTGACCTGCTGGAATGGTGTCTGCGTGGCCCGGGGCCTCCGCACGTTCGTTCCCATCGACCTCAGGGCCCGCGTATTGTCTATGGCGCACGAGGGCCACCTGGGTATCGTGAAGGTAAAACAGCGCTGCAGGGATTTGGTGTGGTGGCCGGGAATAGATCGAGATATAGAGACAATGGTGAAGGAGTGCACGGCCTGCCTGCTCAGTGGCAAAACTGGCCCGCCACTCCCACCGCCCCTGCAGCCCTTGCAGTGGCCGCGCGCGCCTTGGGAGCACATGCAGCTGGACATCTGTGGGGAGCTGCATGGCGTCCCGCACCACCAACGCTTCCTCCTAGTGGCCTACGACCTCCATTCGAAATGGCCAGAGGTGGTCGCCACAGGGTCCGTAACGGCTCGGGTGGTCACAGACTTCCTCTCCTCTCTGTTTGCTCTGTGGGGCAGTCCTAACGCCATCACTACGGATAACGGCCCACAGTTTGTCTCCTCTGAGTTCGCCACCTTTGTGGAAGGGAGGGGGATTAAACACATCCGTACAGCTTTCTACCACCCGCAAGCAAATGGGGGTGTGGAAAGGTTCAACCAAACCCTAAAGAACGGGATCAGAGCACACCTGGCAGATGGTCTTCCGTTCTCAGCTGCACTGCTTCACACCTTGCTTCACTACCGGGCGACGCCGCATTCAACTACCGGCAGCTCCCCAGCCCTCTTGATGATGGGCCGTGAGCTGCAGCTCCCTTTGGATCGGCTACGGGCCCCGGTGGCCGTCACGCCAACAGCCACACCCTGCCAGAGCGCCAGGGTTGCAGAGGCTCAGCGTCGCATGAAGCAGCGGTTCGACAAGAGACGGAGGGTGAGAGCGCCTCCCTTCACAGTGGGGGACTGGGTCAGGATTCACCGTCCTAACCGGGACCACAAGCTGCTATCCTTCTGGACGGCGCCGATGAAGGTCACCGCTCAACTGGGGTCAGCCACCTTTCGTCTGGCCGACGGATCACAGTGGCATGCAAGCCGGCTTCGGAAGGTGGCACCGCCCCCCATCGTGGACCCAGGGCCCAGGGAGGACGGGGACTTTGTTTTTCCTGATGAGCAGTTGCAGGGTCCAGCCGGGTTCCCACCTGAGCCGGTTGAGCCAGTGGTTCGTTTTGAAGCTCATCCGGCCCGTGTCCGGGTCAGACCAAGATACTTGGAAGACTATATTGTGAGCTTGTGACTCTCAGGGGTAGTGTTCAGAGCATAGTCTGTTGCGTGGCAGAATAATCCACATGGCTATGCTGGTGACTGGCAGTCTACCCAGTTCATCTAGAGTAGATAGCTAAAAGTTAATTGGGTTCCTTGTGGGGGGGGGGTAAATGTTATGTATGTGTCACATCAGGTGTGACTGTGCCTTTAAGATGGCACCGGGAGTTTTGGGATGTGTGAACCGGATACAGTTGTGTTGTTGGAATGTTGTCATGGAAGCGTATACAACAACGTGTTCAATAAACGGTCAACACAGATGTCGTAGTCCATAGTCTTTTATATACAACATGAGATTTAACTACTACACTGAGAGGAGAGATAACGGCTCTAAAAGCCGAAAAATGACGCAGCGATAACAACACTAACAGCCCAGATAGACTCACAAAAGCAAACGTTAAAGGAGCTAACCGAAGCGGCTAACGGCTCATCAGATATAGTGCAGGAGCTGGAAAGTAAGGTCAAGACACTCTGTGAGCAAGTGGGAACTCTCAGAAAAATGCCTCGACTTGGAAGGCCGTTCGAAGAGGAAAAACCTGAGAGTGGCCGGAGTAAAAGAAGGGAAAGAAAATGGACAGAGATCAAGGCTTATTGTGGCAGAACTGCTGAAGGAGACGCTAGGCTTGGAAAAAGCACCCAAAATAGACAGAGCCCATAGAGCCCTACGGAGACGTGCTGGGGACAAAACCGCAGAGACACCTGATTGCTAGGGTACACTATTGTCACACTTTTGAAGACATCATGAAGAAGGTGATCTCTACCAGAGACCTGACATTCCAGGGTCAGCGGATACAGATCTTCAGGGACCTCCCAACTGAAGTCGTTAAACGCCGAGCTGCGTTCACCCCAACCAGGAGGACTAGGCTACGAGTGTCACACAACGGCGGAGAGGTTATTTGCGGATCCGGAGGAGGCTCGGCAATACGCGGAACGTCTCTTCGGGTCTGCAGAGGAGGAGTAAGATGAGTGCACTCCATTCCGGAGCCAAGACTGAAGGACTTTAAACTTTGATTTTCCAGAGACTGACAGAAAAAAGTCCTAACGTGAGTTTCGTATAAGTGAACTAAATGTGTGGCTCTTGGTAACGCGTGTTGTTTATACAGGTTTTCAATACATGTTACTCAGGGGTTTTATTATTAGGGAGACGTGTGGCGCAGTGGGTTAATGCGCTGATCTTCGAATCAGATGATAGCAAGTTTGAGTCCCACTGCAGTCAGCATGTCGTTGTGTCCCTGAGACTCTTCACCCCAAATTGCTCCTGTGTGGATTGCCCACAGTATTGAGTATGTAAGTCGCTTTGGATAAAAGCGTCTAACAAGTAATTATTAACCAAAGTTCTGCCCTCTTCTGTTTGTGGGCCTATGTCTATATTTGCCTAATACTGCTCTTACTGAGTTGATAAATATGAGGAGGCTTGCACTAGGTGGAAACCATGTTAAATATACCTCTGTTTTGGTTGTTGTTAGTGTTGAGGCTGTTTCTCCCTGAGCCCTCAGTCTCGCTCTACTAGATGAGTACACAATTATACACTCCTATAGTGAACAAATCTGACAAGTTCCGAGTCCGACTTAACAAAGAAACAAAGTACAATCAATCTGAATAGCCTTTTTGTTAATGATTTTTTTCGTTTTATACATGGGCAAGGCTCAGTACCATAAATTGCTGAGCTTATCTGAACACCTTATTTGGTGGTTTTGGGTTTATTATTAAGGTGGAGCAACAGTGGAAGGACAGTATGATAGTGATTAAGAACTGGGGGATATGTAGCTGCAGGAGAACTTGGATGTCTGGGGAGGAGGATCGGCCCCACTCCTTAGAGTTCAACTTTGGTCGTGCAGAGGATATGTATGTTTCTGTTTTGGTTTGTATTTTCATTTTTACGGGGGCAAATTTGAGGCTGGGTTGGGGTGGGGAGCAGTGCCACTGCGGTTATATCGCTGGAGGGAGATGTAGAGATTACATCAAAAGACACAATCTAAGGGACCCTTTGCTGTGACAACAGATAATATATCAAGATTGATGCAAAACAAGTGACATTTGACCTTTTAAGAGATTTAGCAAAAAAAAACACTTCTGGGGTCATTTGGGTGGATTTGACCTATCTCTGGCCCCCCTTGCTCGATTTTGCTGATTGACATCTCTTTCTAACCGTCAGAGCCAATGGAATCGAGGAGAACTCCCACATACTCCTTATTTGGTAATGTGTGTGTGTGAGACTGACGCATAGCCAAAACCGGAAGCTGCGATAACTCTGGTGGCTACCATTAGCAGCTAACTTTTACTCTCCGATATTTACTTAAAAATTGAATTATGGATTATAAATAAAAAAAAATGATTCCACAGAAACATTATCAACCTATGGATTAACCGATTCAGCCGCGTTTTTTCTCATTTTAATGCCATTGAACACGTATTTGGATCAGATTGACAGCTACGGTGAGACGATCTACCTAGAAGCTCCGTAAAGGTACGTGTTGTGATGTCTGTGTTTGCTTCCCCTGTCGCGAGTTCGGATCACTCAGTGATTATACTATATACCTAAATTATCTGTGGAACCTCAGCTTTAATCGGATATCTTGTAAGTGCAGCTACGATAAGTAATAAGGGTATCTTTTATCTTGAGTTCTGTGCCAAAGTGCTTTAGCATTTTTCGCACAGGGGTCATTTTAGATGCTTCTTATGAGACTTGTGTTTTGTTTTGGTAAAATGGTTTGTATCGTCAATTAACTGAGATTATTCCCGTTAATCTGGTATAACACATTAATAGGTTCTTAAATATTACGATCCCCTGAGACACAGTGTCGTGAAAAAAAGAAAAAAAAAATGACCCGCCGAGGGGGTCCTTGGGGCTTAACAGGTTAAGACAAAAATAGAGTTTTGGAAAACTCTGCCAATTTCCTTACTAGGTAGGATCAATGCAGTGAAGATGATCTTTCTCCCTCAGCTGTTATACCTCTTTCAGAACTTACCTTTATATCTTACTCAAGCCTTTTTCACAAAACTTTGGAACTATAAGTCCCATAGGATTAAGAAAGGTCACTTGTGCAAGACTAAGACGATGCCAGACTTTATGCGCTATTATTGAGCGGCAAATATTCGTTCTGTCTCCTATTGGCTAGACGAGACGGTTGTACTCGCAGACTGGCTTGACTTGGAACGAGAAGACTGCCTACCCTCCTCTCTTGGTGCCATAGTTATGTCTCCCGTGCGTCTTAAAAAGTCATACTATAATAATAACCCGATTATTCATAATACAGGTCAGATTTGGAGACAAATTACAAAACAACTTAAACTTAGGGCCTTGTCCTTCAATGTTCCCCTATCATCAAACCCATTGTTTACCCCTTCAATTATGGATGGAACCTTTGACAGATGGAGAGAGTTAGGAATGGGTAGCGTCGGCGATTTATACATCCGTGGTACATTTGCATCATTCCAGCAGCTTCAGGAAAACTATGGGCTGGCTAGGGCGGATTTCTTTAAATACCTCCAGATTAGGCATTTTGTGAGGACCCACCTACATGACTTTGAGACTGCAACACCTGACAAGCTTGACCACTGTCTGAGAGACTGTTTAGCAGAGAGAGATACAGTGTCATTTATATATGACGTACTACAAGACTATGGACAAGTTGATACAAACTGTATACAAAAAGACTGGGAAAAAGGAAATAGCAGAGGACACCTGGGAAAAGGCCTTGAACTATGTGAGTATCTGTTCCCTTAATGCCAGGCACTGCCTCATACAGTTCAAAATCATACATAGGTGGCACTACTCTAAAGTAAAACTCTATAGAATCTTTCACCAATCTGTGAGAAATGTGAACAATCAGAGGCAGACTTACTTCATAGCTATGTGCTATGCCCTAAACTACAGAACTTTTGGGTCGCAATATTCTCATTCTTTTCAAAGGCATTTAAAGTCCTACTACATCCAGATCCAGTGTTGGTGATACTGGGCACATCTGAACAATGTAACACACTTCAAAATTCACAACTTCATCTCCTGTCCTATGGTCTCCTGTGTGCAAAGAAACTTATTTACAGCTCCTTGGCAGGCTGGCTCTGCGAGTGCATTGCACATGCCTACGGACAGGCGGGGAGAGCCTTCCCTACGGGGGTCCGTGCACACTCTACACGAGCCATGGCTGTGTCAACAGCCTTATTTAACGGCGTGAGTGTGGAGGACATATGCACGGCGGCGTCTTGGTCAACGCCAGGCCTCTTCATAAAGTTGTATCTCTTGGACATGTCTGGCTCCTTCTCATCGTCTGTGCTTGCTGGGGCAATGCAGGACTGGTGAGGAGAGAGGGGGGCTGTGGGTCAGAGGGCATCCGACCCCCCCCCCCCTCCCTCGGGCGTAATGCGCTTACGTTTCCTCGGGCCCCGGGGGACGTGACGCGCACTGGGCCCATAGGGGCTGGAGGACTCTTTTCCCCTGCTTTAGGGCAGGGGGGGGGGGAGTCCTCCACGTCATAGCACACCTCCACGGGGTAAGCTCGTCAAAGTGTGCTCTGTCAGCCGCAGCCCCAATTTTTTCTCCACGGTTACGACCGGGGGAGAGGTGAGTGAGGCGCAGCGGCTTCTAACTAGAAAGCCGGTCAGAGACAGTGAGATGGAACAGTGTTGTTGTTGGACGACAGCGCGCATACATCGGGGCTCCGCCCACTCTACCCATAGAGTCCAGTAGAGGGCTGTGAGAGATATAACGAGGGTTTACGTATTGTAACCCTTGTTATATAAACACAGGTGGAGCCCTCTACTCAGGGGCCCTGTCTGTCCTATGCTGCTTGCTGAAGAGAAGTGTAGGATGACAGTCAGGAGGCGAGGCCTCCTTTTATGCGGTGAGATGCGCACACATTCAGGTAGGCCTGCCCCGGGGCCGGCTACGTCTAGAAAGTCTCAGTGGATAAATGCTTGCATGATAGGATCAAGGGGAGTACACATAGAGTCCAGTAGAGGGCTCTGCCTGTGTTTATATAACAAGGGTTACCATACGTAACCCCTCGTTTTTCTACTTTCCTCCACAACTGTTTTCATAGTTTGGGCCATTAGCTTCAAAGGGAAATCTTATTGCTGCGTTCATAGGACCAGTTACTCCCCTTTCCTTGACCAGAACATAGCCAGCTCCATGAATCACATGCTTTTCCCAGTTGAGTTGGGAAAAACGTGGCTGTCCTTTGGGATGAACTGGAAGGCTGAATGAAAGCCAGGCCTTATCAGCCAGCACCAGAGTTGGACCACTCTAATGCTCTTGTTTAATTCTTGTGAATGAAAGCAATTCCCTGCAGCCACGTTCTGAAATCTGGGGAAATAATAAATAAAATAAAAGCTGTCATATCAGCAGAATAATTCAAAACTCCAGTTTTATGTGGCACATAAAGATTCGGTATGGCTCCATATATGGCTGCTAGATAAAGTTAGAGTTTTTATTTAAATAAGATGGTGGATGAAGAGACAAATACTGTCAATTGTCTACAAGTGTTCATACTGAAACCTGATGATTTGCAACTACAAGGATTCCCAGTCATATCGCATCACACTGTTTCACCATTACTTCCTTTTTTTCTTTCTCTGAAATAGACTGACTCCAACTTGGTCTCATTATTCAATAGGCCCAAGATGTAATTCTAAAGAGTATAACAGACATAAAGTCCACATTTAGCTGGTAGTCTGCTGGGCCAAGAAAAATAAAGGGTGCATGGATTATTTATATATAAATAACAAATATGTTGTGTTATTCAAGTAGATTCTACAACTAGCAATTCTACAGCTTGTGCATTTCCCACTAAAATAGCTGTATCTTACGCCTGAGCAATTATTGGGCACAGTTTAACCAAAACAATATAAACTCCATGTCCCTCAAAGTGATCCATTTCTGTCGTAACTCTATCTTCAGAACTCAGCTCTGTTCAGTGCTGATCACAGAACCAGTCCCAGCGCACGCTAAAGAGGAAGGACTTGTTTCATAGGCTTTTCTGGATAAATGTTTCATCACAAATGAAACAGTCTTCAATCACTTTGATGCGCTGCTCATTAATCC